ACATCATCCCCTAAACACCAGATCCCATTCAGGCAGCCTGCAGCTGCTGACCTGCAAAACCTGGGAGAGTTTTGGGTTCTCTGGGTGTTCTGATTGCAGCAGAAACTTGACTGAGCCCAGGGCAGGGACTGGACAGCCCCGGGCTCTGCGTTTGCCTTGGACCCTTGTGAGGCAACGAACTGCAATTGTACTCCAGGCTGTGGGGTAGCCTGATGAGATGAAGCAGCTCCTAATGAGATTCCCTCTAATTACAGCTTCCCCCATTCTCCCCTCTGYGATCGGAGGAGTGGGTAGATTCACCATGACGACATAATAATAGCGCAGAAAGCTAATTAGCTGATCACAGGGAGCCGGGAGCTGCTCTGCCAGCAGCCCTGCGTCACTCTGAACCCCGTGCCAGGGCTGAGCAGGGACAGGGCTGGGCACCAGAGCAACCCTTCAGCTTCTTGGGCACAGGAACGCTCTGAGACCCAGCACAGAGGGTGGAGAATCCCACTCCTCACCCCAGGAAACCTTTGTGGCTGAATTAAACCAAGGATGGGATGAGGAGGGCAGAGGAGCAAGGCAGGAAGGGGTGGATGTGTTACTGCATCAGCCAACACGGCCCGGGGCGGTTTTTTTGGGGTGTTTTCGGGGTCGTTTCTGTGCCCTCGGTTGTGTGGGTGGGATCATCGTGGTTCCTGCTGTTCCAGACCCTCCTAAATGTCCACCCYGCTTAGGGAGGGCAGGAAGTGGGCAAAGACCCCAAAAAGGGACCGTGCCCTGTCCCCGTGCCAGGCACAGACTCTGGGAGCGGAGCAGGGATGAAGCTGCACCCCAGGCTCAGCCACCAGAGATCCCTGAGGATGGTGATGGGGAAAAATCACCCATTCAGCTGTGCCAGGTTTAGACTGAAGTGCCAGACTGGCAGTGAGGTGCTGCAGACCCTCTCCCGTGGGGGAACCCAAAAGTGAACGATCCACAGAAAGAACACGGACTTTTGACAGTGAAAGAACACGGACTTTTGAGTGAAAGAACACGGACTTTTGAGTGAAAGAACACGGACTTTTCAGCGAGCCAGGGGCACGTTTGGGCAGCAAACACACCCACGTGTGCTGTGTAGGAGCACTGCCCTGCCAGGGATGTGCCTGAACCCTTTTTTTTTGTAGGATCAGTGTCTCAGGAGCCGCGTGGTTCCTCCCAGCTCCGTTCTGGACGCTCACACCTCATTCCCTTCTCCATCCCTCCGCCCTCCGGTGCCTTTGTGCTGTGACAGCGCCTCTCTGCGCCGCTGCCTCGGCTTTTTGCAGGGCTGTGGTGGCAGCAGATGGCCCGTTGTGTCCGGGCCGAGGTCACCCCGCTCTGACGGGGACACAAAGCCCAAGGCAGCGGCGCCGGTGCTGTCCCCATCACAGGCGGGGGCTGTGCGGGGCCATTGTGCCGCTCACAAGAGCTTCGTGTGTGCCCTGGGCTGGGGAGGGGAGGAATTTGGCTTTTCACGGAGCTCCTGCATCCCGTTGAAAAGGCGGCCATCTGTTTGCACACACCCGGCACAAGGCAGCGGGTTCGGGGGCGCGCCGAGCCGCGGTTTGGCACGGAAGGGATGCAGGGTGGATGAATCTCCCCGCTCAGGGTTTGCCCTCCTGCCCATCCCAGGAGCTTCCCAGTTATCAGTGTGGGGCTGGCTGGTGTCCCAGCCCTACAGAGCTGCCCCAGGATGGGAYCAGGACATTTCCCTCCCATCCCCATTAACATTTCCCGTTTCCCTCCCGTGCAGGCGATCCATGAACGAGATCGTTTGTGTGTCAGCGCCCTCAGCMCACGGCCTGGGGGCTGTTCCCGTCTCTGTCAGCGTGGACAGGGCTCAGCTGGAGAGGACTTTGCTRTTTGAGTACATCGATGACCCGAAGGTGCAGCACATCGAGCCCGAGTGGAGCATCGCCAGGTAAAGCTGTGACAGCACCTCCTGYCCTGCCCGGGCTCCTGACAACACACCCAGGCCAAAAAAGGGGCTCTTTGGAAATGAATGTGCCCCCAGTAGCCTGAACTGCTCAGGGCTGGGCATTCCTGGGGTTTGAGGGGCTGTGTTTAGTCCAGCAGTGACAGCAGACCCTAATCCAGGACTCTGTGAGCAGCCCTAAAGCCCAGCTCTGCTGCAGAACGGCCCAACTGCTGATCAAGGGTTTCCTTGTAGCCCTGGAATACAAAAGCAGCAGCCTCCAAGAAAGGAGAAGCTGATATGAATCAAAATTACAGTTACCCCAGAGTCGCTGCAGGAACGGGCTGGTTGCTGCTGTCACATCATGGGGACATTGCCACTGCTGAATCCTGCACTGTGCCCATCCTCCCATCCCAAATCCAAACCTTAAAGTCACTGGGGCTGAGCTGCCCCAGGCTCTGTGCCCACCCAGCCCCCTGACCAGCCCTCTCCTGGCTCTCCACAGCGGCCACACACCCCTGACCATCACCGGCTCCAACCTGGACGTGATCCAGGAGCCCAGGATCCGTGTCAAATACAACGGGAAGGAGTTTGTCAACGTGAGTAGGTGCTGGCAGCCAGAGCAACCCCCTGGCATCCCCTCCTAGGTGGGTGGGGGAGGTTTGCCATGGCCAAAGCTGCTCTGGGGRTATTTCCCAACATCCCCCAAAATTGGGGACACCGGGAAGAGGGAACTGGGCACACAGAAATTGGAAATGATCTCCTTGCCCGACCTCTATTCCTTCAGTCCWTGAGTGAGAAACTGAGATGAGCCCCCAGCTAAATGGGGACCAAGCAACACTCTTGTGTGCTGCAGGAATTGCACCTCCAGGACCTCAGAAATTATTCTGATCAAGTAAAACTGAAATATATTTTTTCCATGCAGTGATCTTTGTGACTGAGTCTGTATTATCTTGGAAAGGGCAAATCACTTAGAGGTCTTTTCCTATTCCTTTTCTCCCCCTCAAGACCTTTTTCCATCKGAGCTCTTTTTAAAAAGACATCTAATTTTGTTGCTAGCACTTGCAGTTATAGTGCTACAAAAATAATCCTGAAGACACAAAATTGAGTGAAATTAAATCTTTCACTTATGGAGGGAGGCCAAATGGTTGGGCTCTTGCTGCTTTACAAGGCAAGAGTCCCATAAATCAGCGATTTGCCTCTTTTGAGGGCTGCAGGAGCTGTGGGTGTCCTCAGCCCAGCAGGAAATGACCTTCACGTTCCCTCCTGCCCACCAGTGTCAGATGATCCATTCCCTTCCCTCGCTGGCATTTGGGAATTGCCTCTAATCACCCATTTGCAGCAGGGCGCAGGCATTCCCTGGGGGTCTGCTTCAGAGCTAGAGGAGGAAAGTGGAAAGAAAAGGGAGGAAAATAAAGAAAAAGGAGTGAGAGCTGCTGTGCAAGCCTTTGGCTCATTTGGAGCTCCCCCTCCATCTCTACCCTGGCTGCAGGAGAAGGAAATTACCCCAAACCACGGCTGTAATGCCATGGAAATGCAATCAGTAAGGCTGGAAAAGACTTCTAAAATCACAGAGCTTGGGAATTAAATATTCCCAGCCAAGCAGGAATCCTTCAGAATATTGGTGCCCAGCTCAGGGCAGTTGTCCCCACTGTCCCTCTGAGTGCAGAGCTGTCCCCACTGTCCCTCTGAGTGCAGAGCTGTCCCCGCTGTCCCTCTGAGTGCAGAGCTGTCCCTGTTCTCCCTCTGAGTGCAGAGCTGTCCCTGCTGTCCCTCTGAGAGCAGAACTGTCCCTGCTGTCCCTCTGAGTGCAGAGCTGTCCCTGCTGTCCCTCTGAGTGCAGAGCTGTCGCTGCTGTCCCTCTGAGAGCAGAACTGTCCCTGCTGTCCCTCCCAGGGCAGAGCTGTCCCTGCTGTCCCTCCGAGGGCAGAGCTGTCCTTGCTGTCCCTCTCAGGGCAGAACTGTCCCCACTGTCCCTCTGAG